CGATTCATAGTGATATAAACAGTGTTTAAAACCAATGTAAGCTTTCCCTGGTGAAATGCATTTTTTTGTTAAAATTGTATTTGGTTTGTATTTTACAATAATTTCATACATTTTCTAAGGTGACTAGAATGCATACAATGCAAAAACGACCCCTCTTTTGTTCACACACTGGTAACTAAGCAACCAGAAAGGCTAATACTGGTATATTGCATATAAGAAACAGTTTTTGAAAACATCTTTATTAGTAAATAGTATCCTCTGGTCACATGCTTGTATAATGTTAATGGTTGACACAAAGGCTGTTCAAAGCATAGAATTCAATTTGATCGGCAGTCCTCCATTAATTAAGATTATGGTTTCGAGAACAAGCGACTGCACAATCAAACACAGTTATTTGTTGGAATTACATTGTCTTCAAATAGTCTCCATAGCTAGGCCTGTCATGTAGAACATGCAAAGAAACACGTAGCCTCGCAAAATGAACAAATCTAAGACAGGTCTACCCAAGGTACATAAACACCAAGCAAAAGCAATCGAAATTACAGTTTTCAAGATTAGGTCGAAAAAGTAAAAAGTTGATGCGCACACCGACAGACAAAGACGACCAACAATCACTCATACCATAAGCTCCACTCAACAAAAAACAACAAAACTGGATAACAAAAATAATTTTAAGCATTTGACTAACTTACCATTTTGAGGGACACATGTACCGTTGATAATTGTCTCACCACCCTTGCATCTACATTCTTCATCAGTGCCATGATATACAACAACCTCAGTATCATGACCACACTTACATGTCCTACCAACTCCACCATCATCTCCTATTGGTTTCACCAAGCACAACTGACTGCAGCCACCATTATTAGTAGCACATGGATTAGAACCTGAAGAAAACAGTAAACAAATCAGTAAATTTGATTTGACATCATTTTTTTCCCATTCATTATCTGTATTCATGAAGAGATTAATGTGTTAATAGGTTATTCTAAAGCTAGTCACATTCAGCTAAACTGTTCTATCATGGAGAATTGTGGGTATTTTCCCGGCAAAGTCAAATGAGCACGAGCAAAATATTCAGTTTGGCTCAAAATTACCTATTACCATTTCTTTATGACAAAAAATTGGCTGAATGTAAGAATTACATGTATCCTCAAAATAATCTACAAGACAACTCTGGTTAACAAAATCAAACAATTGACATTGTACTTCAGTGTATTTATTACATTTCATTTCATTGATGACGCCACTGTATATCTACAAATTGGCTAACACTTTAACAACATTTTTTGGAAAATAAATAATTCTTTGCGATTGGCTGCTTGAAATCCTGATTGAAAAAAACCTTTGGATACACAAACTAGTTTTGGAATTACAAACCCCACTTGTATGTATGTATATATTTTGCAAATTTTTTTCAATCTAAAATATATTTACAGACACTGCAGAGCACTGACCTTGTTGGGTTGACTTTGCTAAAATCTTTAAATCCATTACAGAATCAAGGTTGTCTTCTACAATAGTCACACCAGATCCATCATATTTGCTGGCTTTTGATATTGCTCTCTTGTACCAATCATCCCAGTATATCTCATCCTGAACATAATAAATCACAAGTTGGTTAATAATAACAAGCATTGATAATGCATAGTCCCCATTTAGTATTAGCTGTAGTCGATGTAACTGTTCAGTACAAGTGACATGTAGAAATGAAAGATCAATGTTTTTTTAACACTAACACAGATTATAGATTGTGTTACTGTCCGTATAGTACCTACGTGGAAACTTTGAACAGAATTGGACTATATCTTACAGAGGAAATAGCATGAAAGAAAACGCAGTCAATCGGGTATTGTTGTTAAAGTATCTCAAAAAGAAATATGGCTTGCATCATACAAAGTTTGATTGAAAATGCCCTATTGATTCAACTTTGAACTGAATTGAACATATCGCCCTGTTCAGCTCCAAGAAACATGTTACAGGATGATATTCTACGTATTTTTGTTAAAATGGCCATCATTTCGACAAATTTCATCAAATCTCAAGACAAAACATGTACAAACTTTCAAGTGAATCAGGCCATAACTTTCAGAGGAATCGGCACAAAAAAGGAAGAAAAACCAAAATATGACGTGTGTCTATAACCCAATATGCATGATCACTATACAAAATTTGATTGAAATCACCCTGTTCAGCTCCGAGAAACAGTTCCGAACACGTTACAGACTGTGATTTTAAGATATAAAACAAAATGGCCGCCATTTCGACAAATTTAATCAAATCTCAAAACAAAACATGTTGTGTTACCTTGTAGTATACTACCTATGTACAAACTTTGAACTGAATCAGACCATATCTTATGGAGGAACCAGCAAGAAAACAGAAAAAACAAAATGGCCAGCAGTCGGCCATCTTGGACCGAATCTCAACAAAAAAAAGTGGCGTGCACCTATAACCCATTATGCATGATCACCATACAAAGTTTGATTGAAATCACCCTGTTCAGCTCCGGGAAACAGTTCCGGATATGTTTAAATATCAGAATTTAGCAAATTTGAGGGGAAAATGACTTCATTCGACTAATAATTACCTTATCAATATTGATGAGGTGAATCGTGACTCAACAAAACTTGACATGAACAATAATTACCTTATAGACTCCTATTGCATATGGATGAGGTATATCGTGACTCAACAAAACTTGACGTGAACTGCCGTCAAAATATGCTGTCTCTATTCTGTCAAAATATGCATCAGTCCAGAATAACTTTTGTGTGTGGTCATCAACAACAATCCCATTTGGCCAGTGTATGTTTTCAGATATTATGATTTCATGATATAGACCATCCATGTGTGCTCTACGTATATGCGGTTTATCTCCCCAATCAGTCCAGTACATCCACCTGCAAATCAATTGTTTAACAAGTCATAGTCCCAGTTTGTGTTATAGACTTGAGATATATAACCTGATGTGCGATGTATGTGTAAAGTTTTATCTTGATTGTTCCAGGCATGTACGATGTATGGCTACGTGGAACTGCATTTGTTTAAACAACAAGATGACTGCCAATCAGCCATTTCAGATTGATGGTGACAAAAATACATGTGTGTTTGTCCAATCTTACATTGTATGTCTGATGTACATTTTTAGTTTGAGCTTGAGTAGTCTAAGCATATCGAATACATGAATCCACAACTGCGTTTTTCAAAACAAAATGGCTTCCAGTCAGCAAATTTTGAACCCGATCTGAAGAATAAAATGACAAGCTTCAAAGTACGATTATGTATGTACCACGTTTGAACAAAATCTGTCCATGCACGCCTGAGATTCGATTCCAGAATTGTTGAAATGTATGATTTTGAAAAATTTTGCTCTCAAAATGGCTGCCATTCAACCATCTTGAATTATATATTGAAACAAATGTAATTTCAAATTTCTGATGTATGTGTGAAGTTTAAACTTAATGGTTCCAAACATGTGTGAGATATGAACGCTGGATATGAACGCCCACATGTCGATCTGTTTTTTAAAAACAAATTTTTAAATGCAAAAACTATCAACTTAGCCACAGTTTCCACAGACAAAAATATTTCATCATTATTGTTGCACTCCCACTTTGCAAATTTGTGAAACTTAACTGCCGGAACAAGCTAAACTCACAAATCTGCTACAACTAATGAGAGATTAGAATGACCATTGTTACCTTACAAGAAACCTATTCGCAATTATACAACATACAAAAAGCCATAAACAAGTAATTTCGCAGAATTTGATATGTTGGAGGATTCGTTGTTTACGCAATCTATATAGATTTAGAGAAAAAATGTTGCTTCACATATAATTTTTGTTTGTCTATTTGTGCATCAAGCTGATCTCGCATAATAACCGGGCTGCACTGAACAAGCAATGAGAAGACATCATCTCAATATATGTATGGCAGTACATGATATATCTATTTGTCATGCATAAACCTAGTTGACAACTTACCCTCGTCGTGGATCCAACGACAAAGCTCTGGGATTATCTAAAGAATGCGAAGCATTAAATAATTCCCGTCTATTGATACCATTTTTACGACAAACTTCAATTTTCTTCGATCCAGAGTCGACCCAATATATATTGCCAGACAGCCAATCAAAAGAGAGTGCCTCAATCGTATCAAGTTGACCAGTAACTATAACTTCATGTTCTCCATATCCGTTTAGACCATAGCGCTTTGAAAAAAAAACATCATAAATATTTGAGAGGCAGTATTATTTTGACACACCTGGTGTCCATGGCAATAATAAAATACTTTTAATTATTATATTATATACTCATTTGAAGTCCCGATAAAATACGAAAAAAAGTTTAAGAAAACAACAAAAGTAAAAAAGAACAAGTTTCCATAATGTCTAATGTATATACCAAGTTTGAACAAAATCCATCTGTAAACAGCCGAGAAATGCTTGATTTTGATGATTTTTAGCACAAAAATGGCCGCCATCCGGCCATCTTGAATCAGATCGTGAAACAAATTGACGTGCATATGTATAATATCATGTATGATGTATGTGTGAAGTTTGATTGTGATTGGTCCAGGCATTTCTATGATACAGGTCCGGACGCATGCACAGACGCACACACACACGGAGGTCAAAACATAAGTCCCTGTTTTCGGACTGCGTCCGAACGGGGACTAAAAAACAAAAGCTGTATGCATGTTAGGGGTGATCTCATATTCAAACACCTGGGTCAAACCTGGGTTAACCCGTCCTGCCCTTTCCTGCCCTATTCAGACCTACTAGACCTACAATATGCAAATTAGTAGTAGGTTTGAACCTAACCTCTGGATTAACTGCCCATTAACGCCCTCACTGAAAACAAACAACAGAGAACAAAGAAGACAGACCTAGGGAAACCTAGGTTTTTCTTACAATACTGTTTCAGCCTAGTTTCAGTAGGAAAAAAAATAAGATGCATACTATGGAGCTCCATGTTCATACTGAGTGTTATATTTTGAAGCAATTTTTTTTCTTTGCAAGTCTTGTACATGTAAATGCTAATAAAAAACAAACTTGCATTTGTTTCACAAATCTATTTACATCATGTCATTTATAAGTGTGATAAAAATTATATTTATTTATTTATTTCTGTGATTGGTAATAATAATCAGTTTCCCATCTTGGGGCTAACGCTACGACTTCGGCGCTACGACCACCGTAACATTGTCAGCTGACGGCTTTGCGGGGAAATTACGGGTATTTACCGCTGCCGATATCTTACTTTTCTGTGACAAAATGCACACATTTCGAACCCCCGGTTAATTAAACGATTATTTTAGAAAGTACATCGAAGCACAGTGCCTCGAGGGACTGTGGGCGAAGTAGGCAGCGAGGTGTTGTTTTTAAACACCACAGAAAATCATGCACTCAACGCAGCCATCTTGGTTACCTCAATCAGAATTTCTCCTTGTCACCCAGCATGCATCGATTGCGATATCGCAACGTGCATTGCGTCGCCTTGGGTGACAGTCTTGGGTACAAGGCACTCTATGAATAAAGTATTTTCAGAGGTCAGGGTTCGTTTTTTATAAGCAGTCTCGTCTGCAGATGAATAGCCTTAAATAATCAGCGCGAGTCCATTTAATTTTCTGTTTTGATACTTTGTGTCACTGGCAATTGAATAAGAATAACTGCAAATAACCGATGTGCAGTAAATCAAAATAAATTTTCATGGTGTACGCTGCATTTGTTTTCCTGAATTTTGCGATGCCGCACTCCTGAAAGAACTGTTTGAAAATTGAATGCGCAACAGTGGTAAAGGCTTGAACACTGTTGCGTAAGTCTCAAGTGCAACTTTGTATCAACAAATCTTCGTCTTCTGATACTTATTAGCTGTCAAAGACACATATCAATTGTCAAGCCCAATGAAAAGTGTGATTCACGTCCTCTGCTCAATTTGCGACTCGAGCATAACAGTTTATCAAAACAAAACAATTTATTCAGCACGCTGTTCACCGATATATAAAAGAGTGTTTTTTTAGGCAAGGCACACACGGAAAAATGACTACTGTACACCAATAAATCGACACATTTTAGAGACAACTATGTAGTCTTCAAAAAGAAATGTAAACTCCGTCAATCCTAAAAATAAACAACAGCTTGAATGAGGCGTGAATGAGATCGGTTCGAACCGCGTTTTTATGCAAATTCGTGCGGTCGCCCTGAACCGCACTGTCTATTCCAAACCGCAAAACTGGGTTTTGTTCGGGCGGTTTAGGGCGGTTTGGGTTTTTGTAGGTTTGACCCGGATGTTTGAATATAAGATCACCCCTTAAAGAATCCATAGAATCATTATCACATAAGTAGTCATATTAGCACTTGAGCTGACTGGCAAGAGATGTCAAAACTGTGCAGAATGCCATTCTTTGCATGTTTTTGATACAGCTTTTAAATAGCATTTGTAAGTCAAAACTTTCATATGAAAAATCCCTAGAACCATATTACATTTTCCCACTTACCATTATCTTATCAGTAGCCATATCAGCCCAGTAAATAAAATTATCCTTGTAATCAAAGTCAACAGCAATAACATTTTGTAAACCCTGCAGGGGTAGTGTTTCTTGTCTCTGATCACCAAGTATGTAACGACGTACCTCAGTACGCATAGCATATAGTATAAACTCTGGGTTTTCTGAAAACATAAATATATCAACATTTAACAAAGATTATGATTAGTTCAGTGTTCTCTACAGGGGGTTTCAGGTAAGCAGCTTACCCATCAAGTTCTACGACCCAGCTGTCAGGTTTTACGTTTACCACCGACTCCAAAACACACTCACACTCGTACAACAGGCTGAGTTTGTAATGTTTACATGATGTAAACAGCGATTACTGGAAGTCTGTCAACAATTATCAATTTTATTTTTGGCAATTGTGAAAGAGTAAAAAGTGAGTGAATTTTTCATATGTCAATTGCCTGAATTTATTGACACTCCCGATTGCGCATCATACGCAACTACAGTATTTGTAACTAGAGCATCATTTTAGTAACTCTGTTTTAATGACAGAAATAAGAATGAAAGATGTACAAGTAAAAAAAAATAAATGCAAGTAAACTTGAACAATGGTGAAACTTTTTGCCATAATTAAAACATTCAACTAATTTTAATTGTGAAACATCATGAAAAAGGCAAACTAATGACATCTTGGCATACAACACCGTATTCATAGCTGAGTGTATCAACTGTCCATCAGCGTAAGTAAGTAAGTAAGTACAAAAATAAAACAATTTATTCCATTTTTTGTTTTCATTTGGACAGGATACAATACAGTGAATAATCAAAGAAGTGAATACATTTCAATGTGTTTATGCATTACATAATTACTGACATGTTAACCTAGAGTTTACTATGACAATGGTTATCTAACAAAACTAACAGTAACCATGATTAACTAGCCAATATTCACAACTAACCAAGATTAACACTAATCAAGGTTAACTAACCAGGACTAACAATTAACCAAGGTCAACTGAACAAGACAGTTAACAAACCATGACAAATAGTTCATACTCACCAGATACTGGACATGACACTCTTTCAGGGTCTAATCTCATTTCAACTCCCCCAGTACAGAGATCTCCAGATACTTTCCGATAACTGTAAATACATAAAAATTTATAAATGGTAAAATAATGACAATCGTGTATTCCACTTGATGGACATTACAACTGATGATGATGATGATTAATTCATTTTTGAAAGAGATCTGCTCTTGTTTTGATGCCTCTGTGTTATACTTGTGTTGTATGTGAAACTTAGTTTGAAGCTTTTGACATGACAAGTAATATGTGTATTGTGATGAATAACTGAGTTTTTTATCATCCAATTATGTCAATAAGTCACCAAATCCAACACAGGTTTCTCTGTGTAACAATTCAAGACTGACTACCGGTATATTAAAAAGACTACATTTGATGTTAAGCTAGGATAAGTCTGAGATGCACACTAGATGATTTAGTTGGGTGTTTTCATTGGGTATTTTTTGTATAAACCAACTTTCAGATTTGATTTTTGGCCAAGTTACCCAAGGATTTCAAGTTATGCTGACAATATAATAACTTTCATCATACAAGAACATATTGTCAATAAGTAAAAGAAAAAAAAAAAACTTGTGTTCTGACAAGATACCGTACTCGATCGCGTTAGCGCCCATGCCCGGGCAAGCGCCCACCCCCCACTTTTGCGCAATTTTTATATTTAGGGTCACATTCGAAAAAGTGCCCACCCCTTCAAAATGCAACTAATTTAAAACTTGGTCTTGCGTAACGAATCTTGGTAATCGTTTTTATATGATACAGCATGGATATCGATCGCTGTGAA